GAAGATTTATTGCATCGACGTCCTCTGTCTATGCCTTGTTTTTGTTCCCGTTCTGAAATTCTTATTCTTCCTACATTAAAATCCCATTCGTTGTACACGCAGTGCTTGTGAGCGCTACCTAGGTCCCGATTCTCTTCAAACGTCATAGGCATAATTTCCGGCATCCCGTGACGGCCACTGAGCTATTCGTCTTCCAAAATCAGTATTGCATGCCTGTCTAGCCTTTCGTTCTTTGTTTTTGGCCCTTTTTGATGCGTTTCATTCTGCTTACCTATCTCCAGTATCCTAGGTGCTATGAAATTCTATCAGATCAATCTAGACAGTCAAATAAATGCTCATTCATCAGAGACGCAAACATGCCCTTTAAAATGATATCCTTTGAGTAAATCGGTCCCAAACGGAATATCTACCACCTGTCCTATTATAACAGGCATTGGCTATATATGCCAGCATTTTTTTCTACGCATTTTCCCCCCTTCCGATCTTTTGTTTTCCTTGAAATTTCGCAAATGTATTCTCCGTGGCCAAACCCTAAGTTATACCTCGCTTGTTTTGGTCGTATGGAAGGCGGTTCGGGCTACAGCATTCGCGTTATGACGTGTTCCTCTTTTACCAAATTTCACTTGTTTTGCTCGCAGTGCTTGTTCACACATGTTAGGTCCCTTCTTCTTTTTCGATTCTTTCAAAAAGTCGTAAGCATAGTTTTCAAGATCCCACCGTGGTCACTGAATCTTCTATCTTCATTCTCTAAAATCATTAATAAATGACTGTCCAGGCCCGATATTTGTTAGTTTCGGGTGCCTTGTCATGCCTTTCTTTCTGCCGTCCTATTTGCACTGTGCCTAAAGCTAAAGCGTGGATTTTGTTACATAACATACAGGGCATTTTAAGGGGAAATGTGCACAGAGAAGAATATAATTTTCTTTTGTGGGGAAGAGTTTAAATCAAATAGTATATCCTATTATTAAAGTGAAAAATGTTGATAACAAGAGGGTTGATTCTTATTTTTTAAATTAAAATGTCAAATTAAATGAGCAGGGTGCATCCTTTGAACATTATGCGGCTAAAATATGAAAGTACTTTCTAATTCCAGGATGATGGTAAACTCTCTGTAGAAAAATGCCACTTATCTTCCGAAATGACTGAGAGAATGTGGTCCTGTCTCAGATCCTTCAACTCACTGAACCATCTCACCATCTCAGACTCCTCTCTCAGTTTCACTTCATCTCCTCTTGAGCTTCCATTCGTCACAAAGCTATCAGCTGAGAGAGTGACGTCACAAAGCTATGAAGGTCTGCTCTCGTCGCTCCCTGGATTGAGACATATCGATATCACTATCGATGATGCAGAGAGAAACATACCTCAGATCACGGCTGGTCTTCGTCGGACCGGAGGACAGCAGCTCACACACATCATCATTACAGCACCGTCAACACTCCCATCAGAGAATAACAGGGTATCAAGAAAGACGATGAGAGGACTGGGTCTACTGATCAGAGAACAAACCAAGAACCTTCAGTGGCTTTGTCTGTCCAGAGTGAAGTGCACAGACGAGGAAGACTTGGTTGAATTCGTCGAGACTTGCAGACATGTGGAGACGATGAATCATTTAATGTGAGTTTATTGTACAAATCTTGTGTCAGTCAATAATATTGATATTGATATAAACAATAATAATGATAAAGATTATAGTAATGATAACAATATTCATAATGATAATAATTATAATATAATTAATAACAACAATAATGATGATAGAGATAAAAATAAAAATAGCAAAATAGGTATTTTAATGTATAACACTAAAAATATACTTGATAAAACTTGATCAATACGCTATCATGCGCAACAGATGTAGTTAATTTGTTTTAGTTTATATTGGGCTAAGAACTAATAACATGTAACTACAGACTCATAAAGTGATAGTTGAGTTTTGTTGCAGAGGGCGCTATTTTTGTGTGAGATAATGACAAACTGAGTGTCAAATTTAAAAGATTATACAATTTAAATGAGAAAATCATCTTTGTTTGATAGAAATCGGGTCAGATACGGCTGTAATAAACAAAATATCTGTGATGCTTCACAAATATTCGGTAATTTTGAACCAGCCGTAGAAAAACCAAATACGCCTTTTACGTTTTATTCCGGCCAATGCCAACATTGGCTTTCGTTAACTTTTTCATGTTAGATATAAAACACACAACCAGCCGGCCCGTGTATGGTTATTATTGATTAATTAATTAATTAAGGTTCACCATTTTTTTTTTTTTAAGTGGAGCTGAATTGGTATGATTGTATTAAATCTAAATTCACACATTTTGGTGTTTAAAATTACCTTCATAGCAAAGTTAGGTTCTAAAAGGACACTAGAAATGTCACAAATAAGTATAATAATGAACTTTGAAGGCATTTGCGGTCTGAAACAACAACTCAACTATCCCTTTGTTTGTATTTGTTTGCATTGATTTCACCATATTTTTTGTATCGGATGTCTACAGTTGAGTTAAACACAAGAAAAGAAGAAAATATTGAGAGTATGGCAGCTGGAAGGACCTCTAGACATCTAGACCTCTTCATGATATGGCAGATGACGTAAATTATTCAAAGCTATAAAGGGGTGTGAATGTCGTTATGTTAAATAAATGTATGATGTTCACTCCCCAAAATGGGACGGAAATATATAGGAAAAAAAATTACTAACAGTCGGCAAGCTGTATGTTCGACTAGCTTAATTTGCTTCTGTTCATCACATTAGGCCCTACTTTTTTTTGGATCTATTTAAACGACCTACTGAAATCACCAAGTAGAGATTGGTTGTAGCTTCTTTACCATTGGAAAATCTCGTTTTTATTCAGTAAATACATCTGAGAATCTCAGATTAAGTCAATTGTTTGATGCCAATAAGATAACTATTAAAAAATTAAGAAAATTGTTATTGTCACGCCAAGACGTTATTCTGTAAAACACACTGTACGGAGCGAGACATTTATTTCCTAAAAAGATACTTTCATTATGATATCATTCATTCATCCAAACACATAGGTCTATATCATAAGTGGTCTAAAAGTGTGGGGATGAACATCTGCTGCAAAGATGATACTCGACTCGGTCTTACATGCAAGATAAACAGAAACAGAAATGTGTTTATTAGATTGCAGACACATGTGGTACATAAGGTTGGTCCACAAAATGCAGCTATTCCTCGTAATATTTCGACTATTTCCAGGGCAATCCTTTTGAATGGACATATTCAAAATAATATGAATTGACATTAACATAAAAGTAAATAGAAAGTTCGCAGTTATTTTTTTTTCTTCATAGAACTCCGCCATTTATTTAATTTAAATTATAAGGGAAATAACAAACCCGAGCAGGATTATTTTTTCTTAAAGCAATCACCCCCATTTATAACAACTATTTCTTGTCTTTCCTTAGAACTTATTCATACATGGACTCCTCTTCAATCATGTCGAATGGGTTCAATGCGACGTGGCTTAGTGTTACTAGTAGAGCAGTGCATGGTCTCGTAACCGGGAGATCCCTTAATCGAAACCAAGTCGATGCACTAGTGCCCATAGGAAAGGCAGTAATTCTAAGTCCTTTGAAGAGGACTTAAGGCCATCGATCCCATACATTGGTACAAGTACACACATGCTTGCTCAGTAATCAGATGAAAATAAACTTATAACTCTTTCAAACCTCCTTTTGTTAACGCAATTTTACACATTATCGATTTGTTGCAGGCTTCTTGAATGTGGTACAAACGCAAACGGTAGACTAGGACTGAACATCACATGTAGTGTTAAGCCACTCAGGGTGATTCCTTTGCATGTAAGTAACCTACTAGGTATATTATATATATCTTTATATATTGAGACAGGTATGCAAGTATATCATTGGACAGTGTAACATAGATTTATTGCATCGACGTCCTCTGTCTATGCCTTGTTTTTGTTCCCGTTCTGAAATTCTTATTCTTCCTACATTAAAATCCCATTCGTTGTACACGCAGTGCTTGTGACCGCTACCTAGGTCCCGATTCTCTTCAAACGTCATAGGCATAATTTCCGGCATCCCGTGACGGCCACTGAGCTATTCGTCTTCCAAAATCAGTATTGCATACCTGTCTAGCCTTCCTTTCTTTGTTTTTGGCCCTTTTTGATGCGTTTCATTCTGCCTACCTATCTCCAGTATCCTAGGTGCTATGAAATTCTATCAGATCAATCTAGACAGACAAAGGATTGCTCATTCATCAGAGACACAAACATGCCCTTTAAAATGATATCCTTTGAGTAAATCGGTCCCAAACGGAATATCTACCAAGTCCCGTCCTATTATAACAGGCATTTGCTATGTGCCAGCCTTTTTTTCTACGCATTTTCCCCCTTCCGATCTTTTGTTTTCCTTGAAATTTCGCAAAAGTATTCGTCGTGGCCAAACCCTATGTTATACCTCGCTTGTTTTGGTCGTATGGAAGGCGGTTCGGGCTACAGCATGCACGTCATGACGTGTTCCTCTTTTACCAAATTTCATTCGTTTTGCTCGCAGTGCTTGTTCACACATTTTAGGTCCCTTCTTCTTTTTCGATTCTTTCAAAAAGTCGTAAGCATAGTTTTCAGGATCCCATCGTGGTCACTGAATTTTCATTCTCTAAAATCATTAATAAATGTTTGTCCAGGCCCGATATTTGTTAGTTTCGGGTACCTTGTCATGCCTTTCTTTCTGCCGTCCTATTTCCACTTTGCCTAAAGCTAAAGCGTGGATTTTGTTATATAACGTACAGGGCATTTTAAGGGGAAATGTGCACAGAAAAGAATATCATTTTCTTTTGTGGGGAAGAGTTTAAATCAAATAGTATATCCTAATAAGTGAAAAATGTTGATAACAAGAGGGTTGATTTTTATTTTTTAAATCAAAATGTCAAATTAAAGGAGCAGGGTGCATCCTTTGAACATTATGCGGCTAAAATATGAAAGTTCTTTCTAATTCCAGGATGATGGTAAACTCTCGGTAGAAAAATGCCACTTATCTTCCGAAATGACTGAGAGAATGTGGTCCTGTCTCAGATCCTTCAACTCACTGAACCATCTCACCATCTCAGACTCCTCTCTCAGTTTCGCTTCATCTCCTCTTGAGCTTCCATTCGTCACAAAGCTATCAGCTGAGAGAGTGACGTCACAAAGCTTTGAAGGTCTGCTCTCGTCGCTCCCTGGATTGAGACATATCGATATCACTATCGATGATGCAGAGAGAGACATACCTCAGATCACGGCTGGTCTTCGTCGGACCGGAGGACAGCAGCTCACACACATCATCATTACAGCACCGGACTCACTCCCATCAGAGAATGACAGGGTTTCAAGAGAGACGATGAGAGGACTGGGTCTGCTGATCAGAGACCAAACCAATAACCTATTATGGCTACATCTGACCGGAGTGAAATGTACAGATGATGAAGACTGGGTTTACCTCATCGACTGCTGCAGATGGGTGAAGACGATGAAATATGTGTGGTAGGTTCTTGTTCAAATCGATTATAAATAGTTTAAAATCAGATTAGATGATTCTATTTAGTTAGTCTGCAGTGGTAAAGCATAATGATACGAATGCATAAAGAGATGAAATGGTTTAGACGTCGGTGTAGCCTCCAGGTTTTGCCTGAACTTTGGGATTGGTTCTGTATAATTTTTCGTAATTGTTATTTAACAATTGTCAATATACAGTCGCAATGAATATAATCTGAATACCTTCATTGAAATGGCTAGATTTCAATTTTCAATTGCATGTAAAATTATTATTATTATGATCCGTCGGAAGCTAACGTAGTATAACTCCAGTTGACTATTTTTAAACATATTGATGTTGAATTAATTAGAATGATCTTACTTGTTAATCAGTATTATCACCATCATCATCACTTTTACTATTGTAACTACTATTGTATTACCACTATTTTTATCATTATCATCATCATCATCATCATCGCCATCACCATTATCAGTATAATTATGATTACCGCTAACTTTTGTTATCATTGTTGTAACGATTATTATTATCATCATTTGTCACTGTCATATTAATCACCATACGTATCATTATTTCTTAAGCACAATCATGAGAATTTTAGTCTACTTATAAAAGTTATAAATTAGAGCTAAAGCATGGTGTATCACCGAATGCATTGCATTTAACCTTTATGTTGTTGTCGGGTGTATCGTCTTAATAACGTCATGTCAACAGTGGCAATTTCAAGAGGTGTCAGACCCCCCCCCCTCCCCCCCCCCTTCCAATCGTCAGCTCCAATTCTACGACTAGAGTTTGTGCATTTTCAATGCTTAAACAATGCAAGGGCTGAGGAAACGACTAATTTTCGCATGGAATTTTTGAACACCCAACGCGCCTTACCTCCATCACTCTGCTTTCTGAACATAGGTTAGACAAATGTGGAACTAGAAAGGGCGGCAGACTGGAATCTCATCTCACGGGTCTTCAAATACCATATGGGCCCCTCTTTGTTATTATTGCTCCTGTAAGTATTGCTCCACGTTATGTGCATTGTACACTTTCCTTATTTTTTAAAACAATGTGTATAACAACTTTATGACGCTAATATTGTTCTGTATTATTGTTTTGAGTAATTCATTACAAATATATTTCCACTACTAGGCCCATTCTTGTGGTTAACGTTTCCTTTGTGTTACTTTTTTTTCTGGAAAGTCAATTCTGCTTCATAAGTGTTTTCAAACTGTAATGTTTCTTTACATTAATTTTGTAGTTCTTGCATTCAGCTCTTTCGAATGTGTCCCGGGTCTCTGCCTCAATTGTTGTTAATTGTGATCACATTTCCTACACACCACATTATGAACAGAAAATCAAAACGTTGCTTAATAACATAATTATTCCTTGGATTCTTGTGTCTTTTGTCTGAATTTGCGCTGCAATATATTTGTTATCATTTAAAATATTTCTTTCTTTCTTTTCGATGCTTTTATTTTTAGTATGATTTATTATCTTTATTTCTCGCATGCAACTGAGAAATAGATTTCTTTAATCACTTCATTATTTGGCTCTTCATAACTTTTTTTTCCTGCCATCGCTATACATGAGCCAATACCCTTGATTATATTTTGCTGAATATTCTTTCATTTTATTATTTATGTTTTGTATCAGTGTTTAGTGCCATGCGATGCTACATGAGTGAAGCCCTGTGTTTTCCCTATAAAACAAGTTTGTAATAGAACATTAGCGATGTGTTCATTTCCACATAAGAACTTACAAATATTAATTCGCTAACTTGTTAATGTAATTGTATTTGTTAGCATTATTTTGTTTATTTCCAGCACGATTTTATTATTGTTTATGCCTGTTTTGTTTGTTGATGTTATTATGATTATTCAGGGTCATAGACGGGATTCAAATAGTTATCGCATTTATCACTATGATGGAGATCCAGTGTAGAATACACACTACCGGCCAAGCTCACATGTACCGGTACTTAATACCTGACATACATCACCAGGCTCGTTGGAGGACCTCATGTCTTACATTGGTTAAGTTCCACTGATGACTAGGCACTACCCGGTCAAGTGGATATACGTCACAAGGTTTAAAGGGATAGTTGAGTTCTGTTGCAGAAGGGGCTACAATATTTTTTTGGTGAGATAATGAAAAACTGAGTGTCAAATTTGAAAGAACGTACAATTTAAATGAAGAAAAAAAAAATCATCTTTGTTTGATCAAAATCGGTTCAGAGACGGCTGAAATATCCATAAGTATAACGATTTCTAATACTTGTGTACCACCACAGAGATTAGATAATTTGAAAAAGCCGTTGAAAAACGAAATAGCGCCTTTTACGTCGTATTTCAGCTAATGCCGATGTTGGCTTTTTTTGTTGGCATTTTCGTGTCGGTTATATTACGCACAACCAGCCGGCCCATGTATTGTTGTTTTTAATTAAATAATGAATAAACGGTCACCGTATTTTTTGGAAAGTGGAGCTTAATTGGTATGATCGTATTGGCTAAATTTCGCACATTTTGTGATCTAAAATTACCTTCATAGCAATTTTAGGTTCTAAAAGGGCACTAGAAATGCCATAGATAAGAATAAGAGCAATAACCATGCACTTTGAAGGCATTTGTGGTCTGAAAGCAGAACTCAACTATCCCTTTAAGGTGATTATTGTTTTTGCAAAATCGAATCACAAAAAACGAAAACAGACATGTTGTCTTGCCCTCATCGGACTAAATCGCAAAAATGATCACGCGCTTGTTTCCTTAGCTCAAGTTCCGCTTATATTTTCTCCGATGAAGCCAACATGAAAAGGTTTATTATGTTTGTTTTCGTTGTTATCACTTTGTTCGATAACGTTAAATATCGTGATTAATGCAGTTAAGATTATTTTACACTCGTATTTACATAATGTACCAACCAGAATTTTTGCGTTTGTTATTTGTTGAATTTCGCTGATATCCTCTACTCAAGATCAATTTGAATTGTTAAATATTTGATGAATTTTCTCGCGAAATTAGGTGTAATGATAAATAATTAGGAATTGAACACAGAGATAGGATTGTGGATTAAAATACTATTTATAGTTCAATGATAATATAGGCACGCCGGAGCTACTGTAAGAAAACTTCATTTTGAGAAAACCTTTCAGGAAATTATAGTTTACCATCGCAGAAACGTTGGTAATAGTAGTAGTAGCAGTTGTATAGGAAATGTAGTAGAAGAAGAAAATGGGTAATACTAATGATAATTAATTGATTATTATGATAATGATATTGTGTGCGGGTAAGCCTGAATCCGATGACGGGGTAATAATATGATTGTAGGGCCCTCAGGGAGAACAGTATGAATACTGATGAGGCTACCCTGGGTAAACAAGACATATTATTATTATTATTATTATTATTATTATTATTATTATTATTATTATTATTATTAAGAAGAAAAAGGAGAACAAACAAAAACAAAAAAAAACAAAGGAGAAAGAAAAAAAGGTTGTATCAGTGGTAGTAATGAAATGTATCTTTTACATAGATAGATTAATGGTTCTTTTAGAGCAATGTATTAGTTACTTTGTTTACCTTTGTTTAGTATTTGCCAAATAGGATAATTCTCGAACGGAAAGAAGTTATTGTTTTGCCTTATATTATAATTAATCATGTATATTCTTTTTTGTCGGATCATTCATCGTATTCTCATATGTCTATAAAGTATACTTGTTTCCGTAATGATTTATATTAGACACAAATCATGTTTGTTAGTTATATTTATAATATAGGTGTATATTAACGCATGTATATTTTATATGAATCTATGATAGTTCAATGAACAATTACATTCTTGCAAGTTTCATGCTAATATTATCAAATTGTTTCTTATTCAAGTTTGACAAGTACACAAATTTTCGAAAGGCATTTTCCTTCTTAAATAGGCAGTACAAACAGTATGGTGAAAAGTATATTTGTAATTGATATAACTGTGATAACTTTATTGTGGATTGAGACGATGATATACATGATATAGCACTATAATTATGAAATACACCCTTGAAGAGTTTAGGAATGCATACAAGTTCTTTTTACGGGTTTTTAATATTTTGAATAACTGCATTGTAAATACGTTCACCCCCTGTTTTTTTTCTATATTAGTATATTGAACACAAGTCATGATTACTATTCATATTTCAAATATAGGTGTATATTAAACGCATATATATATTATTTGAATCTACGATAGTTTAATGTACAATAACTTTCTTGTAAGTTTCATGTTAATATTATCAAAAAACTGTTTATTATCCAAGTTTGACGAGTACACAGATTTTTGGAAGGCATTTTCCTTTTCCAGTTCAAAACAGAGAGTAACAATGGACAGATTACTAAGCAGTTCAAACAGTATGATGAACAGAATATATGTAATTTATATAAATTTTGATAACTTTATTGTAGATTGAGACGATAATATAGCACTATAATTATGAAATACACCCTTAGAGGGTTTAGGAATGCATACAAGTTCCTTTTTCGTTTTATAATATTTTGAATTACTGCATACTGCATTGTAAAAACGTTTACACGCCTGTTTTTTCCTCTATATTAGTATATTGAACACAAGTCATGATTTCTAGTTATATTTATTATAAAGGTGTATATTAAACGCACGTATATACTAGTTGAATCTATAATAGTTTAACCATCAATAAAATTATTGCGAGTTTCATGCTTATACTATCAAATTGTTTATTATTCAAGGTTGACAAGTACACAGAGTTTCGGAAGGCACCTTCCTTCTTCAGTTAAAAACAGAGAGTAACAATGGACAGTTTAATAAGCAGTACAAACAGTATGATGAACAGAATATATGTTATTGATATAATTGTGATAACTTTATTGTCGATTGAGACGATAACATAGCACTATAGTTATGAAATACACCCTTGAAGAGTTTGGAAATGCATACAAGTTATTTTTTCGTTTCATAATATTTTGAATAATGGCATTGTAAATACGTTTTCACGCCTGTTTATTTTGTCTTTACACGTATATAGAACAGAAGTCATGATTACTATATGTATTTAAAATATAGGTGTATATTAACGCATGTATATTTTATATGAATTTATGATAGTTTAATGAACAATAATATTCTTGCAAGTTTCATGCTAATACTATCAAACTGTTTATTATTCAAGTTTGACAAGTACACATATTTTCGGAAGGCACCTTCCTTCTTCAGTTACAAACAGAGAGTAACAATGGACAGTTTAATAAGTAGTACAAACAGTATGATGAACAGTATGTAATTGATATAATTGTGATAACTTTATTGTGGATTATAACGATAATATAGCACTATAACTATGAAATACACTGTTCAAGAGTTTAAGAATGCATACAAGTTTTTTCGTTTTTTTTTTAATATTTCGAATGACTACACTGTAAATACGTTTAAACGCTTGTATATTTTATCCAAAATACGAATACCCGCAGATGATTAAATGTCTTGTTTCTTACTCAATGCCTTGTTTGTGTTCAATTGGTTTGAGTGAAGACTGTAAGAATGAAGAACACCTTTTTGTCACGGTCATGGATATGTAGCTGAAATCAACACAGGGTAACTTAGGGAAACTTAGTCCAGCAGGCAACTTTACTCTGTAATGTGGAGTGGAAATTGAGTTGAATGGAATTCATAAAAATAAATATAGTTTTTATAAAAGAAAAAGAAAAGCAAAGTCAAAGAATACAATACTAACAATCCACTCTTCTTGTTATCGTATGAGGCATAACTTCGTTTGAGAAAGGAAATCCACCACCAAAATGGTGGAGCCCATTCTCAAGAAAAGAAATGCATTGAATTGGATTTCGCTAGTATAAGAGTGGATTTAAATCCCTCATATGACGCATAAAAGGTGATCCATTAGATACCATCGGTTCCACATTTAGTCTCATCAGCACACGTTAATAAAACATTATTCTACCCTAGAAAAAGAGGAAAAGACCCATGGTTATACCATTCAGCTATGGTGCCGGAGGATACCTCTACTATGGTACCGTGAGTACCAGTATTTGATCGTGAACTTCCATAACATAAATATATATATGGGGATAATGGCACCTATCATAATTATAACTCAACATCAAAGTGATTACATGGGGGCATGCGTGCCATACCTAAAGACGACAAGTAATGAATGCTCGTGGGTTGACACATCCGCGATTTTTAACAATCTTCTGATAATTGGGTTCCTGATATAATCCATGTATTACAATCTGACTAACGCATTTGGTCTACAATATGACACTTGTATCGTGTATGGAAATTACTCTGTAGATAAGGTAGAATGCTTCGTTTGTTATTCTCTCAAAGACAGTACACCTCGTACTCATTCAACTATTCAAATATGATATAAAGTTGATACTGTATGCGGTGTAAAAGCAGAAACAACAAAAGATATTTTTTTAAAGGGTAAGACTGGGAACAAATGTTTTTTTAACAGTGGTGGTTGAAGGAAAACATTGTTATTAATACAATTATGTATAGTATGTGTTCTTAAAAAGGGGAATGAAAAAATAATTGCACAGACATAATGATACAATGCAAATAATAAACATTGGTTTTATTATAACTCTACGACAGTAATAACTTACATGTATGATATCTGTACAAGAAGATGTATAAACAATAATTCGTCGCTGTTTTCACGAAGTGACGGTAGTGAAAAAAAATTGCATTCACTTTGCGTTACGATTTTCCTCACTACCGTCACTTCGTGAAAACAAGGACGAATTAGTTATCAGGTTATGGCAAGTAATCAGTCTGGTACTTGATTCCCGAAATTGTAATAAAAGCAAACATGAATGTTATCACAAATGTCCAAACAATTGATGACTCTTTCATTTAGAAGGGTCGAGTTATTCTAGCGCCACCTTGTGACTGATTTAGTAATACGCCACATGAGAACTGTGAAGTTGATACCCGGAAGCCAACGCTTAACTCGGGGAGATTTGAGTTTAAACTCACATCTTCCTGCGTAACTGGTGTATTTCTTATTGTCTCGAAGATATCACAGCTATATAAACTTTGAGAGTTGTAATCACTATGATTATGGAAGATTCATATCAGCCG